GATCCTGACCCCTTTGAAAGTCCTGCCCATTGTATGAGAGTTGTACTTCAATGTCTTGTTTATATTATCGAGTAGATTTTCCAGTGTATAGTACTTGATAAGTCTCAATGTATTAGAAAATTTCGTAGAATCCCTACAGTGTGGAAACAGACCATTCAGCCCAACAAGCCCACACTGACCCTCTGAAGAGAATCCCACCCATCCTCCATCCCCCTTCCCTCATCCCCCTTCCCTATCCCTGTAACCCTGCGTTTCCTGTTGCTAATGCACTTAACCTGCACATCCCTGGACACTATGGACAATTTAGCATGGCCAATCCACCTAGCCTGCATATCTTTGGACTGTGGGAGGAAACCAGAGCACCTGGAGGAAGACATGGGGAGAATATGCAAACTCCACACAGACAGTTGCCTGAGGTTGGAATCGAACCCAGGTCCCTGGCACTGTGAGGCACCGTGCTGCCCAAACATTGTGAGTATGAAAGTATGCATTTTATTGATCATCATTAAGGAAGTACAGATAAGAAATCAAGTCTGTACTTGACTGGAAGCTTACTTGAAAAGATTTTATCACCTTGTAAAAGTGTCTAACTGCAGTATTTTTGAACTGTGCAACTTATGAAAAATATTGAGCAAGCACATTCACTGTTCCACTCCAACAATGCCACCCAAAGGAGAACAAAAATAAGTATTTGAAGAAAGGGAATCCATTCAGGACATCAAGAATGTCTGTCAACATCACAAGGAGGCCCTGTGTCTGCAGTTACTCGACAACAAGACAAAAATTTATTAGCCCCAGTGGACATTTTAATACCTGTCAAGAAGAACAATGCATCTGTTAACAAGATTTACTTGGGGAGTAATGAATGAGATCCACAATCTACTCAAAGCATATATGGAGTCTCATGGCAGTACTGCCAACACTTCTGTTACTGTTGAAGTCATTGACCCATGCATCTAAGTTTTTTTTTGCTACCAGAATTTTTGAAACAACATTTGTCAGTTTTATAATTAAAGGAGCAGTGGGATCTGATTTACAACGGCAAATTTGAGTAAATTTAACAAGTACCTGAACAAAAATTTGAAAGAGTTGTCTGCATGGTACCACAGGAAGTTAGGTTCCTTAGACACTGAAATCAATTAGATGACTGTAGTTGTCATTCCCAGTCAGTTGCAGTCTTGTACCTAACCACTGACATGGTAATGTTTATGTTTAGATTATGTGTCTTGGTGCATCTCTCATTGCAGCCTTGGAGATCAAAAACAGTCCTGACCATTGTTGATAAGAAATACTGGAAATGTTCAAAAGCCCAGGCATGTCTGTGAAAAGAGTAATAGCTAATGTTTCTAGTTTATTACCTTTTTCCTAAAACTGGAACCTGCTACAGATGTGACACACTTTGAGCAAATACAGAGCTTCTTTGGAGTGAAGGACAGAATGGAAAGAAAGGTCTTTTAGAGTGAAAAGCAGGAATGATTAAATGACAAAAAGAATATATGGCAATGTTAATGGAGGTGATAATAAGACAGGAAAAGAAACATCAACACTTAGGTTCTTTTTCCCCTCAGGATTTGGTGTTGGAATAATTGTGAATAACATTGAACAATCCAGGAGTTTTAATTGTCTCATCACTCCAGAAAACCAATATGTTTGGAGTAATGATGAACAAAGCAAGTTGAACACTGGACAGTTTAATAGAGCCTAGATAAGAAGAGGTTATGTTTCAACTGCACATGGCTCTCGCTGGATCTTAACTACTGCACCCATGTTTAGTTACCATGATTGAAGATCTGCTGACAGTTTATAGTTGTGATGCAAAGTTAACACCTGTGTTGTCAGAGGAATGAATAAGAATGAAATACCTGAGAAACTTATTTTTTCTAGCCTTGAAAGTATGTGACTGAAATGTGATTACCATATTATATACTTCTGCACAAAAATAAAGAGAGATTTTAATGTTACTTCAAATGAACTGCAATAGTATAAGAAGGGCACATCACACTCTGTAAATGGAAATTTAAGACTAAGGTCTAGAATTTCTTCACACAACGTAGTAAATGAGTTTCTGAACAAAGTGGTGAAGGTGAGAAACCTAGAATCATTTAACAGTTGTTCTGGAGAGAATCAACATGTATTGTCTTTCTGGATAGACGAATTAAGTGAGGATAATCTTACCATCTTATCAAGGTATATAAAGAATGGATAAAAATTAGACGTTATGATCCAGATATTCTAATGGCCAGATAGTTATTTATACAGCACAGTTTTGAGTCACAGGTCGGAACCATGTGACATTTCTGATGCAGCTAACTTTGAGTGAATGGCCCAGGAAATTGAAAATTCTGATCAGCAGTTCCCAGGGATTTGGATTCCCTAGTAATCTGAGCAACCAATTCACCAATGACCCCTCCTATACAACACCCTCCTTGGACCTGACCCTGTTGGACACGATCCAACATCACCCTCATGTACTCTAGGGCCAATATAAACCCTCCCTGACTCCTCCCTGCCCCCCTTCAGGCAAACCCCTCAACCCCCTCCCCAATTGGGTGGATGCCTACCTACCTCATTCCCCTGACTTGATTGTCTGCATACAACATCACCCACCCACCCAATCCTCTCTAGATCCACCCTGACACAACTCCCCGCCCTACCTGCTAACCCAATAGCTCCCAACCTGGATCCAATTCTTCAACCTGAATCTAACCTAAGCACTCATCCATTTATTTGGTGTTCTGGTTCTTCAACCTTCTGGCATCCTATCCACCTATCCATTTGCTACTGTAACCTCTTATCCATCTGGCACATGATTTACCTCACCCACCTGCCATTCTTACTTATGTTACATGCTTACTTTTCTGCAGTCAGTGTCAAAATGGCTTTGGAATCTTCAAAAAATTTAGCTGCTGAAATGTAACCATAAGTGTTGCAAAAGATGAGCGTGACTTGACTGGCAAAGCTGGTTCTGCGCTGTATGGATTTCTCCCCAGTATCTTCTGATGGAACCATTTGGGATAGCCCAGACTCGGGATTTTAGCCTGAAAATTTGCTGACTGATAAGTGGGTAATCTTAAAGACAACCACTATCAACTGAACTGTTCTTACTGTGATCAGAATTTCTGGGCCAATGTGCTACTGTCAGCGACCCTGATTTAGAGAAAAAAACAATTCAGTCAAGTTTGCACTCCTGATTGGTGAATAATAATGTAAGAATAATGTGAAAGTGTTTGAAAGTTAAGGGGGGTTAGAATCAGCTTTTGGTATGAACCTCTGCATTGAAAGGCACACTCTAGACTCAGACATGAAAAGCAATCACTTGGCTTGTCGTGACTGGAACTGTATCCCAACAGGAAACAATTGCTTTTGGCAAGGAAGGTAGAACATGGAGAAGTAGGTGTTCTGTAGCTCATCTTCTTATTTAATTCTAACTACTGCAGAGCTGATCTTTCCAGATTAAGACACAAATTTGAATACAACTTAGGTGGTCACCTTGCCAACATTTAACAATATAAAAACCACAGTGGAAATGTGATCAAATGTCAAGCTGCTAAACCTGTTTGAGGATGTATGTACGAAACTTTTTTTTTAGATGTATGACCCAGACTACTATAAATACCTCTGACCGTGACAATGGAGGCATTAGTTAAAATACTGAAGTACCAATGTAATCTATGCATATATTTTGATAGTGAGATCCTAATATTGATAGATTTAGATTTTCTTTTATCTATTAATTGGATGTGAGCATCTTTGGCAAGGCCAGTTTTTATTTTCCATCTGTTTAGAAGTTGGTGACTGACTGTGTTTTAGAATCATTACAGTCCATGTTGGTGTAGGTGCACCCACTGTCCTGTCAGAGAGAAAGATGTAGAATTTTAAAACAGCGACAGTGAAGGAATGGCAATACATTTCCAAGTTGTGTGATTTGGAGAAGTACTCACAGATTGTGACATTCCTGGGGGCCTGCTGGCCTTTGATATTAATGATGATAGATGTGATGGGTTTAGGCAGAGCTATTGAAGAAGTTAGGAAGTTGCTGTCAATGGAAACTTGACAAGATGTTGCAATGCATCTTGTGGATGGTACATGATTCAGCTACTAGGCACTGGTGATGGAAAGTGTCTATATATGAGCTGGTAGATGGGGTGCCAATCAAGGGGGCTCCTCTCTCTTCATTATTGTCCAACTTCTTGAACATTGTTGGAGCTGCATTCTTCCAGGCTAGTGAATTGTACTCAGTAACTGGGTTTCATGATGTCAGTATTAAGACCCAGCTTGTCTCGGATTCTCCAGCATCTGCAGTTCCTACGATCCCTGATTTAATTTTATGTATTCCAGATTTAGTGATTAATTGAATTTAAATTCTCCCAGTTGCTATAGTGGAATTTGAACTTGTGTTTAGAGCATTAGTCCATTACCAGTCCAATAACATTATCAACATGGCTACCATTTTTAAAACAAGATAATATTGTGTTATATCATTTAAAACCTGCTTGTGGAAAAATGTCTCATTCATCTTAACAAATATTATTTTGTTATTTTCATAACCTGGATTTTGAATTGTAATTTAGAACAAAAATTCTGAGAATACAATGCTTTCCACTTTTCAAATAAAAAGTATATGCAATTCTAGTGTTTACAATTAATTGAAGTTAATTAATTAATCCATGTGGTTTTCTCATATTTGCTCTTGAATGTGAGCAGCTATATCAGAGATTTATTGTCCATCCCTGAGGGCAATTGCAGTCAACTACATAGAATATAACTGGAGGAAGGAGTACCAGCTTCCCTTCCTTGAAGTTGATGAGTGAATCAAGTAGATTTTTACAACAATCCACCAGCTTTCATGTGTTCGAGATGGGGCTTACACAAAGTTCAGTGTCAGCATTAAATCAAAGTAATGTGAAGCCGAATCGCGTTTTAGTTGTGAAGTAGGTATTTATTTACTTCACAGCTCTGCATTGTGATATTGTATATTTTCTTAAATATGTTGGTTGCAGTTTCTTTCCAGGATAACATGGCAAACCCCAAAGAGAAAACCCCAATGTGCCTGGTGAATGAGTTAGCCCGTTTCAACAGAATCCAGCCCCAGTACAAGCTCCTGGATGAAAGAGGGCCTGCCCATGCCAAGGTAATAGTTGAATAACGATTATAAAAATGTAGCTTTATAATATTGTGGCATTATTCATATTGATTTAGACGTGTTGCCAAATCTTCTGATCTTACGCTTATCAGGAGAAACACAAAAATATCAAACTACAAATGTACCATAATTTATACAACAGGAGAAAAGGGTGCTGATTGACTGGCATGTTGACTCTGATTGGCCAAGGCATTGTCATGGAGAAAGCAGTAGAGAACGATAGGCTTCCCAAGCTCCCAGAAAATTCCAAAAAGGTGTAAAGCTTGAACATATTCTTTTTGTTTGCAGAGAATGCATCCCTAAGTATGAATGTATGTCGCTTCCAGCAAGCATAACTGAGCCACGATACAAACTTAATTGCAGGAGGACTAGAATACAAGAGCAGAAATTCCCGCATTGGGAATATTGTGAGCAGTTTTGGGCCTCGTATCTAAGGAAGGATGTGCTGACGTTGGAGGGTGTCCAGAGGAGGTTTAGAAGAATGATCCTGGAGTTGAAAGGCTTGTCATGTAAGGTGTGGTTGAGAACTCTGGTCTGTACCTGACAGAGTTTAGAAGGATGAAGGGGGGATCGGATTGAAACTTACATAATACTGAGAGGCCTGTGCAGAGTGGATGTGGAGAAATAATTCCCCTAGTAGGAGAGACTAGGACCAAAGGGCACAGCCTCACCTTGAAGGGACGACCCTTTAGAACTGAGATGAGGAAGTGGTTCTTTAGTCAGAGGCTGGATAACTTCAACTCATTGTTGCAGAAGGCTGTGGAGGCCAAGTCATTGTATGTAGTTAGGACAGAGATAGATAGGATCTTGATTGGTAAGTGGATCAAGGGTTACGGGGACAAGGCAGGAGAATGGGGTTGAGAAACATATCGACCATGATCACATGGTGGAACAGACTCAATAGGCCAAATGGCCACATTCTATTCCTGTCTTATGGTCTTATGGTCATATCCAGGGTTTACTTTTTATCATCAAGTTATATGGATTTTAGTGCCATTATTTAATGAAATACTCTAAACTTCAAGGTAGTCTTGTGAAATAAATGATTGATACAAAGTATGCTTATATTTGGGGAATCTGATATGTTTAAACCTAAATGTACTATGGGCACAATGTCTCAATGCCAGCAACCTTGGGACTGGGTTCAATGTTAGATTTCAGATCTTGCCAGCTTTTGGGTTGAGCAGTTTGGATGGGTCCAGTTGGGCATTTTAATCATGGTCAGGTGACATCAAAGGTCAGAGCGGGAAAACAGACGAATGCATAAGCTGATGACTAGTCCCTGTTGTTGCAGTATGTAGCTGAACAGCCATTAAGTTATTTTAATAATTTAATAAAAATTAAAGTTCATGTATGGCGGCTTGTAAAAATGTCTAGGTTGGGGACATTTTTGGTTTTCAGATAGCCAAATGTGAGATACTGTTCCTGTGTTATTTGTGAATAGATGCTTGACTTTGTCAAGATGATTAATTTGGATGATAAATGTGAGTTTCTAGCAGTTTTTTTTTCTATTTGTGTTCTACCCCTTAAGTAGCAATTTGTAGAAAACATTAAATTAATTCTGCACACCTCCCCTAAAAAACAGTGATCATTTGACAACCTGGTACAATGATCTACCTGTACTACTCGTAAACAAAACTTTTCACTGTACTTTGGTACACGTGACAATAAATCAATCAATCAATCAATTGTGTACAATACTGCAGATTCAATTTCACTGATTTTATCCAAAATAGCTGAATAATTTGTTCTCATCAGACTTTCATGTTCGTGGGGGAGACCAGCACATCAGTAGAAAAAACAGAATGTTGAAGCATTTGTGCTCATCTTTAGCCAGAAGTGCCAATGGGTGACCAATCTCAGTCTTCTCCTGAGGTCCTCAAACGTTCCCAGTTGTTGAGATACCTCGACCATTTGATAACCTAGCCAAATTCAATTATGCCAATTCACTTATTGATTTTTATCCAAATTTTATAAGTTATTTGTTCTCATCAGTCTTTCAAGCTCCTAGGGGAGGCCAGCATATCAGTGCAAAAGGCTGAGGCATGTCATCCTCAGTCAGATGTCCTGAGTGGTAATCCAGGACAGGAGTTCCTTGGGGTAAGGTCCTGAGCACAACTGTGTTCAGCTATTTCATCAGTGACCGCCTTTGCATTATAAAATCTGAAGTGGGGATGTTTTCTGATGGTCATACAATGTTCGACACCATTCACCACTCTTCAGATACTGAAACTGCCTGTGTCCATTTGCAGTAAGACGCATAAAATATTCAGGCTTGGGTTGATAAGTACCATATTTGTGTCACATCATTGCCAGGTAATGACCAAGAAAAGATTCATCCTGCACCATATAATTGTTTTGCGATGACCTTCTTTAGCAAGAGACAATCTAACGACCACCCCTTGACATTGAATGCATTGCCATTACTGAAACTCCATTATTAACATCCTGAGGATTACCATAGACCATAAACTGAACAGGAACAGCCATGTAAATGCTATGGACACATTAGCAGATTGTGGGATGGCGGGGAATTTTGCAGTGGCTAATGCATCTCTTGAGCTCCTGGTGATGTCTACCATCTACAAGTCAGGAGTGTGATGGAATATTCGTCACTTACCTGAATGATTGCAGATCCAAGAACCTCTAGAAGCTCAACACCTTTCAGTACTAAGCAGCCCGCAATTGACACCCGTTTATCACCTTTGAAATTCACTCCTTTTCATTATCTTTTATGATTCCAGCTGATGGTAATACTGGACTGGTCTGATTCTGGAGTGAGTGCTAGCTTGATAGACCTTAAATCTTATTTTTATTTGTTTACTATGACGGTCTTGTTTACTTCACAAGAGGCTGCCTATGTATTTTTAATGAAAGAACATCAAAGTTTACTACTTATAAAAGGGGAATAAACACAAAAGAACTAGTTGAAAAAGTCTTATTACAAATATCATCAATAAAGATTCAGTGCTTTACCCTCAACATCACCCTTTTAGATATTCAAACATCAGTATAAAGTCTGAGGACAGGTGTCTCATCCCGAAATGTTAACCCTGATTTCTCTCCACAGATGCTGCCAGACCTGCTAACCTTTTCCAGCAATTTCTGTTTTTGTTTCTAATTTACAGCATCTACAGTTCTTTTGGTTTTTTTTATCAGTGTAGGGTCACCCCATTTCCACTTTAAAGTTCACTGTTTTGTTGGCATACTGATAATTGGTTTCTGGAGCTTTGATCTTACTGACGGCTAAGCACTTTCAGAACCATTGTATAGGTTTTCCATACACTCGCTTCCAGTAGTTTTCTGTTTCTGGACTTTTTTTCTTAAGCCACTCAGGACTTTCTCTATAGCCCTAATGTTTTGGAGACTGCTACACTAACAGCACCTTTCGCTCTGACTGAACCTGCATACATCCGAAATAACTTGTTTCTCTCTCTCTGTTTCCTTGTGTCATTTGACACCCAACAGCCCATTTTATTCTGTTTTCTACCTTTTGTTTTTAATGCACTGAACTATTCACCTCAAGTTCTACTCTGAGACTGTAACCTTTATTAAAAATGCATGTATTAACCAACTTCAGGCATTCCAGTACCACTCACAGAACAAGCCTAAAGTTAAACTATAACCCTGTCTTCCCTTCTTAACACACGCAGTATAGAAATACAAGTCAAGCATATCAGCCATTACCGAATGCCATCCTGAGAATGCCGCTTTATCTTAACTCTCTCTCGTCTATTAACTAGCTAACCATGTATCCATGCTAATAATCTACCCCCAATACCAGGCTCTCATTTTTTTAAGTAGCCTATAAGTGATTTTTTTAGGAAATCCAAGTGTATTGCATCTACTGGTTCCCCTTTATCTACTCTGCTTGTTATCTCCTCACTGAACTGTAATAAATTTATCATCCATGATTCACCCTCCATGACATCATGCTGACTCTGCTTGATTACTTAAGTGTTTCTTTTGTAATAGACTCCAACATTTTCCCAATAACAGATGTTAAGTTAATTGATCTGCAGTTACCTGTTTTCTGTCCCCCTCCCTTTTTGAATAAGGGTGATACATTAGTAGTTTTCTGGCCCTCTGAGACTTTTGCTAACGTAAGGATGCCTGGGAGATTGCTGTCAGAGCATCTATTATCCCTGTAGCTACTTCCTTTAAAATCATAGGAAACAATCCGTCAGGTCCAGAGGATATATCAGCCTTGGCCCCATTAGTTTCCCCAGTAGTTTCTCTCTAGTGATAGTTGTTGTGTTTATTTCTTCCCCACCTTTAGCCCCTTCATTATTTCATTGATTGGATTGATTTACTTTTTGTCACGTGTACAGAAATACAGTGAAAAGCTTTGTTTATGAGCAGTACAGGCAGATCATAGTAAGCAAAGAATGTACAAGTCAAGAAGATTTAGACAGAGGCATACAGGTTACATTGCAAAGGATGCGTCCTAGGCGAAATCAATATTAGCAAGACCAGTGTTATTTGAGGCTAGATAGTCCATTCATCAGTCTGATAACAGCCAGAAAGGAGCTGTGCCTGAACCTGCCCATGCGCGTGTTCAGGCTTCTGTATCTTCTGGCTGACAGAAGAGGTTGTAGGAGGTCATTACCAGGGTGTGATGGGTTTTTGATGATGTTGGCAGCCTTTCCACAGCAGCGAGCCATGTAAATAGAGTCCATGGATGGAAGGTTGGCTTCCGTGATGGTCTGGGCTGTGCATACCATCTTCTGTAGTTTCTTACGATCCTGGAAAGAGCAGTTGCCATACCAGGCCGTTATGCACCTGGACAGTATGCTTTCAGTGGTGCATCTGTAGAAGTTGGTGACAGACCTAATGGACATGCCAAATTTCCTGAGCCGTCTGAGGAAGAAGAGGCGTTGTTGTGCCTTCTACGTGAGAAGTCCAGGACAGGTTGTCAGTTATTGTCACTCCGAGGAACTTGATGCTGTTCACCCTCTCAACATTAGTTCCCTTGATATCGGTGGGGC